ATATCCGTTTTTTTCAAATTTCGTGAATTTTGGATTGTCAGCTTTCTTTTGACAGATAAAAAGGTTAGTCGCGCTTTGATTTGCTCTTCGATTTTTCACTATTCGAAAAAATTGATCAAAGAAGCTGTATTAAGTTTTGTGTAAAAAATGAAATTAAACGCGCAGGGACATTTGATATGTTGACTGTGGGTTTGGCGAGTCTTCTATGACTAGAACACAAGTTCAATTGTGGTATAACAAGCAGACCGTTAAAGGGAGGCCGTGAAGATGTCAATAACAAATGCTCGTCTGATCACACCTTGTATATAGCTTAAAACTGATGCTGTCGATATTTGCCAAAAAAAAAATTAACAAGAAGGTTACGAAAAGGAGGATGATTCATTGATTTCAATGTAGAATCCTGCATGCCACATTAAAACATCGTCCGATTTTGAAAATTATTTTTGTATTGGGTAGAACATGCATTGCTGTTGAAAGAGGGGAAGGGAAGGGGAAGGGAATTTTAGGCAGAGCGGCTTATTTGATTGTATAAACCGCATAACTCGTTACTTCGTAGTTAGATTGGCATAATTTTTCCTTAATATGTAGGGTAAAATTGGTCGTTATAAAATCAAAAAAAAAAAACATTTTCTTACGAAAGGTTGTTGTTTACTGTGAACCGTAAATAGATATGAAGTATTTTATAATTAGTTGACAAATAATTTTGAAACAAATTAAGCCGCAGAAAAACTAAAAACAAAAAATAATAAATTATTTTTTACTTAATAAAAAAAATTATTAAACTAAATTTTAAGTCGGCGTCGCAAATGGCAATTTCATTACGGCTAGACTTGTTTAGGAAATATTTATTTACTTAAATAGTATACACATTTTACTAGAATCTGCCCCATTTAATTGTTAATTCAACAAGTTTTTCTTATAATACAAAAAAAGAACAGTAACAATAAATCATTAAATCTTGGTAGAAGTGTCCCAAGATTTCTCTCTGGAATATCTTAAATTCGAGCTCGGAAACTTAATCTTTAAGGACATGTTTATCCTCATATATTGGAAATTTACCAAAAAGTCGCTGGCAATTTCTTTGTAAATTTCCATTCTTAAACACAAAAAATTCTTCCATAACCTTTTTGATTAACTTCCGAGTAGATTTCTCATTAATAGTTAAACGGCTTTCAAACTAAGAATATTTCACAGTTTTACGGAAATCAATTTTCACTCTGTAATGATAGAAAGGTTGTATCGTAAATGCCGCAAAGCGCCTTCGCAAAATTGTTCCAATTATCGTAAATTGTTGTTATAATATGCTCATTCGTTTCTTTTATTAAATAATGACATTGTTTCGGTTTACTGTCCTACAAAGAATGTAAAAACCCTGCATAAATAATATTTGCTTAATTTTTTATATCCCAGTGAACCAAACGGTGACTGATGACCACATAATTAATTTATAATGGGTCTTTAATTTTTTGAAAATATAATAATATAATAATATATAATTTGATACCAGCGAACAAACGATAAATTGTTAATACCACGACAAAAAACAAAACATTTGTTTACAGTAAAAAGTTATAGTGTGATGGAAAATTTCTGCCAAATCATTAAGGATTAAGAAAGGTTGATTAATATATTTACATACATTCATTTCGAGGCTTAATTAAAATAGTTGACTTTGTAAGTTGGTATATTTTCAGAATGCCTTCTTTATTACTTACTTTAATATTTTACATTTTACGTTCTATAGATAGGAATACACACTTAAGGGGCATCCCTAGTGTGAAATTTCAAAAAAATCGATCTTTTTTCATATTTCGATAGATTATACTTTTAAAAATAACATATTAAAATCTCAAATCGATATCTCAAATAGTTTTTGAGTTATAGCAATTTAAAGAGCAGCCGCTCGGCAGCTAGAGAGTCTCATTGGCTACGAGTGTAAACGATCATTTTATCTTTAAACGCGTTTTTCTCGTAACAGCTTTTTCCGAATTTGCTGCAGTGATTTCTCAAATATATATAGTTCCCCGTACAATGACCTATCGATTTTTGATCTGATCAAAAAATCGAATTTCGGCAGGCCAAAAACCACCAAATTCTGGGTATAATTCGACTACTTTTTTTAAACGCCGTCATATTGTCAATTTTTGATTTTTTTTATAACTTTAAAAATATTTAATTTATTCTTCAAAAATTTCACTGTATATTCTTGAAACATGTAACATATATTCTTAAAATTTTGTAATAATTGATAAAGTATTTTTTTTTTAATAAAAATTCCCAAAAATCACCTTTTTCTTGGGCCATTACACTAGGTGTGCACCTTAATAAAAATCGACTCAAATATTAAATATATGAAATTGACATTTTGCACGTCCTGAATGCATTCGATTTATTTGTTGAGCTGCTTTAGGCTGTGCCAGGTTACACTATTTCAAAAAATTTTATTTCATGAAAACCGTTTTTGATTCTATTTACTTCACTTTTTGTTACACGGGCGTGCTTTAAACAGTAATTGAGCAACTTGGACCTCTGCTCTGATTTTTTGGCAGAGTAACTTAGAGCGTACCGCCATTCGGAAGGGTTCGAGCGCTGGTCCGGCCAACATTCAAAATTCAAAGAAAATTAATTTGAATTAAAACTTGAGTTAAATTTTCTACTTGTGAGTGTTTATAATTTGAAATAAAGATTTCTCATAAAAACCCATCAGCCGTTCGGAGGCGGCTTAGTATAAATTGTAGCTTCCACCATTCGTAAGGAAAAACATCAAGACTCTTACCGAAAATTGGAAGGGAACTCGGTAACAAAACGACAATTATATATATACTAGTACATACCAGCCCTGCAATGCTTCGATGTAGCAAATGTTTATTTAATGTATGAAAACTTAAACATGGGATTTCTTTTCATCATAATTCTATTTACTCAATACTTGTGGGTATGCAACATTTTGGTTTTACCATCAACATTGCGCAACTTCCCGCAGAGAAAAGTAGCATTCCATCTTTCTAGCGAGTCGAATCATAAATAAATATTTTTCGAATAGGTCAGTCACTGTTCTACTTCCAGAAGTAAAAAATAGCTCGGCTTTTTGAATAGGTCAGTCCGCGGTCCCTTTCCGGAGAGAAGTGTAGTCTTACTGTTAACATAAGCAAAAAGCCACCTACATATGTATATACCGAATTTCAAGTAAGTTGAACCACAAATAAGATTTTTTCAAATAGGCCATTGTCTGGTCCACTTCATAAAACTTCAATGTAAACCTTACCGGGTATAATATAAGCGATTTGAAGAAAGTTTAAGGCAATCGCTCGGCAACTTTTGTGGGTTTTTAGAGATTACTGGATCTTTCCGAACGGACTTTATATTTTCATATAAAAGATATGATCGAAAAGCTATTAGTTCCGAATATATATGTACATATCCCGATCAATTCTTTAAAATATCTTGCTCATCACATATATATCTATGCATTAAGGCCAGAAAGTTTCCGGAAATTGTTTTTTTTTTCGATATCCACGGTTTGGTTCATCATGAACCCGTTCCAATGAGACAGACGAGGCCGGAATTGTGGGCCAACAATTTCTGGAATCTTTCGTGACGATAATCCGCCATCGCACCGAGTTGTAGTTGAGAACGATTTTGAGATCACAAACGCGTTCAATACCATCGATCAACCACCGTATTCACCGAGATTGGTCCCGTGCGGCTTTTTTTTGTTTCCAAAACTCAAGTTGCCACTCCGTGAAAACCGTTTTGACTCGATTCAGGCAAGAAAATTTGCAGAGGGAACTGAAGTCGACTGATTTCAGCAGCTGCTGCACACAAACTGGATGACAGATCGATCGCATTTTTGGTATAGTAATTAAGGATAGTGCTACCAACTGAACAAAAAAATAGTTCTGAAAAATATTCAATTCGGACAGTTTAAATTTCTGGAAGCTTTCTGGTTTTAGTGTATTTAAGGAAAATATCCCTTACATATATCAGTTTATAAAAGACGGCAGACAGCACAGTTGGGTTGTTAAACGGAGAACAGTATCGTTAAGCTCATTTGTCCATCTTTCATTGCCTTAGCACTTTCATCACCGGTTCTCAAAGTATTTGCCAGCATTATGAAACACTCTGTTTTATTCGTATCTTCTACTCTAAACAATTGTTATTTTAAAAATTTAATATAAATATTTACTAATTTTTCACTATATTTTCACTAGAAAGAGAAATGCAAAAAAATCTTTGATTGTGTGGGTTTGTGATATTACGTGGATTTATCAAATCAAAGTAATTTTCATCAAATTTATGTATGTTTCATTAAACTCGTGAACTCATAAAGTGTAAAATAGGGAAAGAAAAAATTGTTTACTCCAATTCTAGGAAATAATCGAATGCCCAGCGCTTCAATGACTTTTTGCTGGGTTATTACAACTCGAGAACTCCTTAATTATATAATTCATAAGATTTACGAGAATTTAAAGTCCTTTTTCGAAAGCACGAATCTCTTCTACTTATCTGCAAGAATAAGTACGCAGATAGACTTAAAATCACACACACACACAAGTACTTACTTTCATTTGATTAAAATGTGTGAAAATACGTGTTGTAGAAACAACATATATACATATTTGCAAAAAAGCGAAAAATTCTGAATTGTAGGCAGCAAAGGGAAATGAACCATTATGTGTAACCTCCCCACGAACCCATTCCCTAACCCGACTCCTGGAGCTTGCTAAACACCGCCCAGCATACACGCCCAACATTTGACGTTTGTTGTTTGACATTCCAAAGGGGTGTCCATCAAATGTTGCTGCATATCTATGAATGTACGTAAATACATATGAAAATTATACTCATTCCACAAAGAAATGTTTTTGAGTACCAAAGACTGCTAGCACAATCAATGATTTACAATGAATTCAAGCAGCAACAACTCCACGAAGATTCTAATTCAGGCAGTATGTTTTGGAGAACTTCAATCTCAACATATGGATTCGAGTAAATATGTATACGTATTTGTGCATGAATAATCTACTGATGATTACATTTAAATACCAACCAAATAATTAATCCCATTATAATTTTTCCTTACGTTCAGACGCCATGATCCTTTAATTCTGAAATCGACGCCAGCAATTATCTCATATAATAAAAGTTTCCTGGTTATCCTTTGATATTTTCTTGTACAAGTTCACATGCAAATTTTCATTTCAAATTGCTGAAACAGAACTAGCTTGCTCTTAGACAAAATACATAAATGGTTTATCAATAGAACCTCGCATAATTCGGGAAATTACCTAAAATATTTACACGAAATGACTTTTGAGTATTCGGCGTACATTTCATCTTAAGATGAGGAGATCACGTGCCCTTAATCAGTGGAGAGAAGTTTGCTTCTTTTGAAGATGAAGACCTTTTTGACTTGGACGCAACTGAGTCTCGAAATCCATATAGACAGATTTAGTTGATAGCCAACTGAGGTGAGTATCGGCAATCATCTCTATAGAGAAACAGGTTATAAACTTTCTAGTGTTTTCAATTTTTAGCACTATTATCTGAGTATGTACGAGGTGTGTTCAAAAAATATCGCGAATTTTGTGTTTTTTCAAAAATTATTTATTTATTCATGAATATCTATTTTGTACCCTTCAAAGTAATCCCCATGAGATATTATACACTTATGCCACCGGTTTTTCCAATCTTCGAAGCACTTCAAAAAATCATTTTTTTTATCTTGTTCAGCTCCTCCTTCGATGTCGTCTTTATCTCGTCAATCGTAGCGTAACGTCGTCCTTTCATGGGCCTCTTCAGTTTAGGGAACAAGAAAAAGTCTGAGAACATTTTGTACCACCGATAAACGGTCCAAGCTAGCTTCTCCGTATGCCACAGACAAAATTCGGAATGCATCCGCGCACCATGACCATCCAAAACACTTGCAAGCAAAGTAGCTGTCAACAATATAGTGTATATTCAAAATGGCCGAGCTTGTCGACATAAGTGACAGACATGAGTACCAACATAGCGCCACAAAAAAATCGAAATTCGATTATACGTAACCCGCGAAAATTCAAAATTCGCGATACTTTTTGAACACACCTCGTATTAAGGTTCTAACCGCATTGGAAATACTAGCCAAGTCTGTTTCTACTAACCTTTCCGGCGGAGCGGCATCCTTCAACTTCCTCACTACCCCGACGATTATTGCATCGAAAACTTTCAAAGCTGGAGTATTTTTATCCATCCGGACCGCATGACCTAACCAGCGTAGCCGCTGTTTCTTGATGCGCTGAGCTATGTCAAGGTCGCCGTGTATCTCGTACAGCTCCCCGTTCCATCGACTGCGGTATTGTTCCGTTCCGAAACCATAGAGGATCATAAATCTTACCCAAAACCATTCTCTCGACTCATTAAATGTTGTCATCGTCCATGCCTCCGCATCATATAGGTGGACGGTAACGGTGGGAGACTTGTAGAGTTTGGTCTTCCTTCGTGGGCAGAGGACTTTACTTTTCTATTGCATACTCATTCCAAAAGCCACGGTAGTCGAGTGGTTAGCATTACATACTGCCATTCGGAAAACCAGGACTCGAACCTGGTACGACCAACATCCACGAAATATAGAAATATAATTTAAATAAAAAATTAAGATAAATTTTCTAATTGCGGTCGCCCCTCTGCAGGGAATATCAACCTCTCCTAGTGTATTTCAAGACGCAAAACCCTAAATTGGAGGAAGAGCTCGGCTGAAATTTGCTTCAGCGGTTACAAAGCGCCAATTATATTTATATACGTGTATATATGAAATCAGCCGCCTTAAAAATCTAAGAATTTTAGCATCTTAATGAACATTTCTTATTTCGCTACAAAGGTTTTATTTATATTTACATAATATTGGGGTATTGGTGGTGCTGGTGATATCGAGCTTTTGCTTAGGACCCACCTAAATCGTATGAGCATACATACATAAGTGCTTTGTGAATATTAATAATATTTAATAATAATTCTTTTTGTAGTGGGCATAACGATTCACAACAATGGCTAAGAACAAAAGCCTGTCTGATACGTGCGCTTTCAATCCGATATACTCTTATATACTCGTACATACATACACGTATGTATGCAAGTAGGCATATATGTGCACATGTATATCAGGACATATGGTATGATGTATTTACACAAAAGAAGCCATTAATAAATACTTAAATAAGATGTACTTGAATAAATTTTCTATTATTATCAATATCATAAGTGAGATATACACAAGTATACCCTGTAGTGAAACTACAAATAGGTTTAAAAAAATAACTGCGAAAATATTATTCCGTTGAATACCGAAATATTGTCACCATTTCATTTGAACGTAATTGATTTAAAATATTTTTTATTTTCGTTATTAAATAAAACTACTGCTTTCAGTTCAAAATGGAGTTCTTAGTAGTCTTTACCGTTTTGAACTAGTATGAGACTAGTTAATTTTGAAAGAAATCTGGCAATCGTCGTTGTATCGTTTACTTTATGACCAGTACTAAGTGCATTTCACTAAACGAAAGAATGTGTGTGTGCGTGTGCTTGCTTCCATGCGTGCCACATTTTGTTTGGCAAAGTAATAATGATTGTGCTTGAGATTTAATCTTTATTGATTTATTCCGACTGCTTTTAATATATATTGTTTTAAAATCATTCACAACCATATGTATGTACATAAGTATATTGTGTTCATATTGTACATTTGTACATATACGCGATCTCTTCATGTGTGAACTTTATTATTCATACCTTCTTCCTTATTTGCATTTTCAAAATTTATTCTATTTTGGACCTCACACTATTTCCCTTATCTCACATCGACATTCGCAGTCATTAAGGGAATAGCTAATGAACTCTAGTTAAAAGCTTTGAATTCTTGGCTATCACGGTAGATAACCTTTTTGAGAAAAAAAATTGTGGAAATAGTAGTTAAATTAGTCCACCTTCCGTGTGGAACCGACCAGACCGCTTCGGTTATAAAGATCAAATAAGTGATCCAATTTCATTGTTAGATGTTCCGAGAAGTTCGTAGTAAAAAATCCGATTTATGAACTGTAGATGTGTTTTTTTATCCGAATCAGCTCATGCTCGCAGAGAACCATCAGGAATCTGTTCCTGTAGGTGCTAAACTCATTGCCGAAGTAACCTGCTAATATTGGAAGCGATTTAGACCGTCTTGAGCTATTTCTAAGCCACGTCGAAGCTGCTGATGATCTTTTTATAATTTACTTCATATCAGTATACTCAGAAAATTTATTTTCAAGGATCTTTGGATGGTAGTACGCCCATGACTCGAGCCCTGGATATTCGATTTGAAATTCAAGTGATCTCATCCAGCGTCCATCTATTAATTTCTCAACAAAAATTATAAAGTTGCTTCATGTAAGCATTATAGCAATGTAATCCTCGCAGACAAAGACTCAATACCAGTTACAAATAGTCATAAATCACTTTCAATGCGAAAAGAGAGCCCGCTTTAACCATGTATTTTTCAACACCTTAGTAAAATCGGTTAGTCGAACTTGCTCGGAATCTGTATTGCCAAAGTTCAATAGTATTGTTTCATTGCGAAAAGATCGCAGTGTCCGGCAGTATGGGTTATTACTAATTTTTTATTAAGTTTCGAATAGCGATTGCCCGTTTTCATAACAAGAAAGCGGATGGAGAAATGACATGCTGGCAGAGCTATTAAAACATGGCAGTGAAGAGCTGACAAGACCCATACTTCCGACAGAGTGAAAAGGAGCTGCCTCTACGCCGCTATGTCTGAAATAGTTTCCCCGCAAAATTTATACAGCTGTGTAAACTGACACTAGACAACACCAGAAGCCTGAAAAATTTGTTTGGTAGTGAACGAGGAAAAGACCAAATATCTCCTGTCATCAAGCAAACAGTCAACCCATACACGACTCGTCACTGCTGACAGTCATAACGTCGAGGTTGTAGAATCTCTCTTGCCAATAGGTGTTACTTTGCGTCGAGTAGGCAAATAAAGAAAAGTCCTCTCTCCAGGAGCAAAAACCGACAAATCTACAAATTCCTTATCATCTCCGTCCTATTATATGGTACAGAAGCGTTGACGATGCCGAATTTTGCAAACGACCATTGGCATAGTTCAGCGTATAAAGAAACTGCGGCTATGGTCAGGTCATCTCATTTATGGATGAAAGCTCTCCTGCTTTAGAAGTATTCCTCTGGCGAAAGCAGAGGAAGAGGAAGACATCCACTTCGTTGGAAGGATCAGTTGGAGAGCTACCTGGTTTCCCTTGGTATTCCCAAACGGAGCCAAGCGGCAAAACTAAGAGATGAATGGTGCAACATCTATACATTCTATAATCGCTTAAGCGGTGGCTACGCCAATAAAAAAGAAGAAGAAGATGCTACTTTTTTCAATGAATTATAATTTATATTTTAGTACTTGGTTCAGTTAAATTTGAAACGAACAGTACGAATAATATCGATTATTCATGCATTGCTAACCAACAAATATACCATAAAAACATATTTTTCCTTCGAGATCCAAGAGGTTACATCTAACCAGTTAAAAAGAATATTTACGTTTAAACAGACATTGTTGCACCAACAAAACGCATCACTACTTGCCAATCCATGTTTGTGACTGAGAAATATGGGCCTAATTTTATGTTATGTTATGTACCTGAATATTTACACAAGCGAAGAGAACATCCCATATGAGGGAGCACTCAACGAAGTGCGCAAAGCCATGCGGCAAGAATGTCTCGCCGTTTGCTTTTAAGCCGGCTGCCGTGTCGACTAAGTGCCTGGATCGAACAAATATGCTCTATGTACATATGTATATAGATACTAAATACATACTACATATGATTGTAATACCTTTGTGAATCGTCTTTAGTGCAATTCCTGTATTTATGCCATTGAAGAGCAAAACGGATTTATTATTACCATTCACGAGTAGACGGCGAAAACAACAACTAAAATGTCAACAACGCAAAAAATAAATGTGCTCAAGCACTGAACGGAGCAACCATTGAATGCCAAGTCAGTGTATAGTAGAATGGAACTTTGAAGAACAAATTCATACGAGTATGTATGTATGTACTTAAAACATCCCTGCAAGGAAAAATACTAAGTGGTAACTAGAATCCAACTGGTTGGCATTTTTCCACATTAACTATTTCCAACTTCCATCTATTTCCATGTAAGCAACTAGCGATGCCCCGTCAATTCTCCGACTATGCAACAGCTTCATACTAGTTAAATACTAGTTCATTTAGGCATGTTAAATTTCGACTTCATAAAAAAATTAATTGAAATGGGGTTTCCAGCAGCGAGCCATGAATCTCACTCGCCACAGCGGAAAGCTTTACCTACTAGGCAATTAAGGGAAAACTAAAATGAATTAGGAAACTTTATGAGTTACAGCGACCACTCGGCTACCGTGACGCTAAATCGATGAACGTCATTTTCGCACTTCAACTTAGCCTAAGTGAGAATGGGACTCAGTCGTGAGGTTTAAGAAATAATAACCGGTGGTATAAATGATTCTTACGGCAGTTACTAGGGACTGCTATACAAATATTCAACTGGTATAATTTTATCTTAAAAATACTATTATTTAACTAGAATTTTCGCATACTAGTCTACTTTCGCCCTGCAGGGATATTTCCCTTATATGAGACGGCGTGTACAAGCTACATTTATATTAGGGTGTCCGCCACATACTAAACCGACTTCTTTATTTGGGCATAACCAAATTCTATAGCAGTCATATCAGCCGGATTATCACAGGTTTGATCCCTGTTTTTATTAAACGTCATCAATTGGAAATTAACCGATCCCATAACCGGCATCAATATGAACCAACCAACTTCATTTAAGACATCGTGTTTGTCTTGCATACACCATGTATGCATACTACTTATTTCAAAAAAGTAAAATAACAATGAGTGATAATTTTTGGAAGTAAGGGACACCCTAATACTTTTACTTACCTATCCATTCTAATACGTGTTTGTACGGCTTATAATTTCGGTATTGCTTGAGTCAGTCAGCGAATACGGTACTGCTAGAAGACCACCATTGGATTAACTAAAAGCACATGGTCTCTGTTGATGTTGTGTGAAATGAAATGGAACTCTATACTTGCAAGCAAAAAATATTTACTTTTCGATTTTACGAGTATATGCAAATATTGATAGTCCTGTCCAATTGCAGAAAATATGAAACACCCGGCGATGCAAGCCAGGATCCGTAATCGATAACGATGGAATAGTGTTCCTATAACCATCACCGAACTTCATCACATTGCTTCAGTTCCTACATTAAAAATATATTTTATATATTGGACGAAAGCCTCCGAAACATTACCCATTTCACATAGGAGATGAGCTAGAATTGGGTTGATTTGACTCTTGTCTCGTCATCCTTTAGGTAGTTTCAGATATTCGCCATGTTTGGTTCAGTTTGATTAGTTAATCATTCAAAATTTGGTGTTCGGTAACGAGAGGTTCGGAGTAAATTGCTCGTTGCCAGAGATGCATATTCCGTTTGTAGAGTTATTTGGTTGGTATTGCATCCGGTATGAGCTTATGGCCGAGATCACCTGATCGCTTTCGTTCCTCAGGGTTTTATTAAAGATTTTGTAACAGTATATGAAGGAACCGAGATAGACGGTAACAAAATAGAACAGATAATTTGCTACTTTTTACTTTCTACGTAGTTCTCACCATATAGCAGTTGACAAAATTTATTTGCTTCAAGATTAATGGAAATAATAATTATTGAAATCATTTTTTTCTAAATGAAGGTAAAAAGTCTCATATTTCCAAACCGGTTCTCTTTAATTATTCTATTCAATTTAATCGAAGTCAAGGGATTTAGTTGAGTATTGCAGTTGAGTATTGCAGTGGAGCCTAACATCTAGTTTCTCTTCTGATTGTCCAACAGTAACATGTCATCCACTTGCTATAGTAAACAAGGTAAACGCAATCGCCCTAAACAAACACCAAAACTGCAAAGAAAGCCATCAAGTTGCAGCAGCATCATGAAATCTGAACTGTCATTGAATATATGTATGTACATACTATGTATGTTGACAATTGAAACTTTCGGTTCGACAATCAAACACGGCAGCTGATACCTATATACGAATACAAACATATTAAACAAAAACAGTTGATAAAGTATCAAAAGTTTGTCTGCCTGAAGAATGATAAGAAAATTCATAAAGAACAAGAAAATTTATATTATACGAGGTGTGACAATAAGAAATGAGACTGATTATATTACCGCGACCTTGAAACTCCCTTTCCCTTCTCCCGGACATCCAGGCGGCCGTGACGATGGTACTCGCGGACATCCCAGTCGCAGCGTTCCAGAAAGGTTACGAAGCATGGAAAACGCGCTGGAATCATTGTATCGCTACCCAAGGGGATTAATTTGAAGGGGATGACAGAGTTGTAGAATAATTTTGAAATATACGGTTTTTATGGAATCAGTCTCATTACCTAATTGTCACACCTCGTACCCACACCGTGCCGCTGTCCTTAACATTATTGAAGAAGAAATGGAATAACTATACAATAATATTAAAAACGGGTGGCGAACTTGTATGTCCATGTGTGGACTAAAAGTTGGTGCAAACTTCACGCCAATTAGTTTAAAAAAATCAATAGACTCAGAAGTGAACATATGAAACACCAAATGCATTATCCAACCGACTTACATTGGGAGCCGCTTCAAATTTAAAGTTTTTATTTTCGAAGCCATGACCCTCCGCACAATAGCACGCATTACTAATTACTTGGCTCTACGGCACTCGCAGACCAAACAAGATTTTAAAGTATCTTGTGGAGACAACAGCCTGAATTTTGTCAGCTCTGTTCAGTAATTGAAACGCGTTCGGTGAAGAAAAAAGCAACGAGAGAGCGCAATATTTGGCATTAAGTTTGCAGCAGAAGTTGCGAATTCGTGCTGGGAAAATTTCTGATGGTAAAAATTAAGTAATTAAGTAAGAAAAATAGCTAATTTGTGATTATATGATATTTCCTGGATTTAAAATGAAATTAATATTAATACTTGAAAATCAATGTTGTACTAACAAAGGAAGTTATTTACAGGGTTATTCTGTCGAGGTAGCAAAAATTACTTTGGTATTCAAATTTACCATTCAGTAAATTTTGTTACTATTTCATATTCTGAGTTCACTGTCACCCTGTAAATTTTGTTACCAGCGAGATAGGAGGTAACAAAAATATATGATGTTTGATTTTGTGTTGGTAGTTTGAGAAAAAATAAAAAACCAAAATGGGTAGGCATAGTTTAGGCCTGGAATTCATTGAAGATGAAGAAAAAAGTGCAAAGAGCCGTATTTTAAGAAGTTTTCGAGACTAAAAAATAGCCCATTAATTTGTAAGATATCGTTTTCATTCAGCTTTTTTTGTTGTCCAGGCATATTTTCCATAATTAGGTTCAAATATTTATGATTTAATTAACACATTAATAAAACTTTTTAATTTTTTTGTGCACCGTCTTCCATTTCGATGTGAATATTATTCTTTTTTACTTTACCAACTGGCAAATGTAATTTGACATGAACGAAAAAAACAGTGCTGCTAAAATTTTTTCAAACATTGTAGTCAGTTCGCCAGAATACCAAATTCAATTTCGGGTGTTAAAAAAAAGTAAGAAAATGTACTTTACCGGTAACAGTAAAAATATGTAATTTTGTTAAATTTAACAATTCAATTAAGTAGTAAAGATACTCGTTGCACGGAAATTTGGTGGCAGTATAATCATCGCCCGCACACCATATGGTTTGCATTCCATAATTTGAAGTTAGTGATATTGCAGACATAGAATTACAACAGAAAGCTGTGTCCAATCGCAAAACTTTGGCAAATGTGAAAGACGGGAATCGCATTTAGCAGTAAAAATAAAGATCTTGAATTTTGTTGAAAAAATAGAAAAAAATTCTATAAAAATGGTCAGTTAGCAAACTTCCAAGGCCATTTTCGTATTTCAACCGAGTAGTTAGCATTACGTACTGCCATTTTGATAACCAGGGCTCGGGTAAAATATTAATTTTTCTAATTGGGTTCGCCCCTCGTATATCTGATATATAATAAAAGCTCCTCATAAAAATCCATCAGCCGTTCGGAGGCGGTTTAGTATAAACAGCATGTCCCTCCGTTTGTTGGAAAAAACATTAAGACGCAAAACACAAATTGGAAGAGGTGCTAGACTGAAAATCGCTTCAGCGGTTACAAAGCGCCAATTACATATAATTACAGTGGCTCAATAAACAACTCGGACATACATTCCACTGTTTTTAACATGCAACTTCAAGCTATTTCCAGGACTACCAAGACAACGATCCCAAGCATAAAGCACTTGATGTCCGTCTATGGTTGATGTGCAATTGTCTTAAAGTGCTTGAAACACCTCCTCAATCTCTCGACATTAACGTAATTGAACATTTGTGGGCTCATTTGGAAAATAAACTAAATTTTGAAAATAAACTAATTATATATGTATATGTACATATGTATACGATGTAGGTATACATTAATAATAAATATCCCATGTGGCTAACATTTTTTTTTAAGTTTGTGGCAGCAATTGTCCCAGGGACGCAGTAACTTTATACAGTCTTTAATTTAGAAATTGATAGAATTATTTTTGTCACCATAAGCGATTTCGCTATTCTCCTGAAAAATTAGTCAAAAAATAAATCTTTTGCTAGAGATGCGTACAGGAACTTAACAAAAATTAGCTTATCGATTACATGCGATACATTTTATTCACAACTTTAAGAACCATAACTTTTTATGAAAATAAGCAAAAGCTGTTCTTTATACTAAATATCAATAAAGAACTGGCTTTTGAATGTGTTAAAATTACATTTTACATGAACCATTTATTTAAAAATAGCTTAAAATTTCAACCAAATGGCAATCGATTACCATGTCGTGGTAACTTTATATATGTGCATAAACATTCGAGTTTTTGACACCTTCAGATTCGAGTAAGTGATTTACTATTTGTTTTATTTATTTATTGTACATTATAATTATTTTCTACAATATTTAGATATTCAAAAATTTTTCATTTTAAAGATTCTTATATGAATAATTCAATAATACGTTCTCAAAAATTAAAATTCTTCTTCGGAATTGCAATCCAGCAGAAAAACAGTTCAAAACATTAGTGCATAGAAAGTAGTCCCCCTTTTAAAAATTTGGCGGTAATATCTTAAAACCCAGGAATGCGGCACCATTGATCCAACATGGTTTGAAAAGTGAATGTCATAATTGTCAGCCATTGCCATTATAGTTCAAATATAATTAGCGAATCGCATAAGCGCTAGAGCAAGCGGCGAAATCGAAGATAATCTTTCGACAAATCGTATGACAGAGTTAGTGAATCCCACTACAGAAAACCTTGTGAAACATTATTCTGTAGTGGCATCACTACCGAATATATCGATTGTTCAATGATAACCATAAACACAGCTGTTTGCTTTGTAGCAGGAAAATATATTTTATTATTTTATGATTCAGTTCATCGATCACATACTTCAATTTATCTTCTATATTGCAACTATTTAATCATGCATGGAAGACTTAAAGTTCGCACAACAGAAGAGGAACGGGAGCGCAAGAAAAAGGAGCAAGCCCTCAAAGTAAAAGCCTATCGTGCCGCAATGGTAAAAATACAAGAGAAGCGATTATCTCATGAACTGGATGGCGAAATGTTACTGCTTACTTCGCAAATACTCTTAAGAAATCCAGATGTGTCGACGCTATGGAACATTCGAAGGGAATGTGCAGAACAAATAGTTCTTAAAACTGAAGATTTAGAAGAGCAGCAAGCCATTTTTGAAACGGAACTGAATTTTAGTGAACAGTGCCTCTTAGTTAATCCTAAGTCATATAATTGTTGGCATCATCGATGCTGGATATTGGAGCACAGTCCTAAACCGAATTGGGAGCGCGAAGTACAACTCTGTACAAAATATTTGAAAATGGACGAGCGTAATTTCCATACCTGGGATTATCGTCGGTATGTTGTTGAAAAAGCAAACATTCCCAAGCAAAGTGAGCTTGACTTTTGTACTGAAAAAATAAAAGTTAATTTTTCAAACTACTCGTCTTGGCATCATAGAAGCTTATTACTACCTCTGTTATATCCTTATGAAGGTGAGGCACAACCCAAGCGAGCTATGAGTGAGGAAAAACTGCAAAATGAATTGGAAATGGTTCTTACTGCCGCATTTACAGATCCCAATGATAGTAGCGCTTGGTTTTACCAACGTTGGTTATTGGGCTATTCTCGACAGGAATTAGATGTATGTGCTTTCCGTTGTAATAATAAGCACGCCATGCTCGCATTTACAAACCCATTAATATTGGACGCAAAAGATGTGGCAATAACTAACTCCGAGGGTACTGTTATAATAAAGTTGACGAATTGGCATTCCATTAACAAAACAAAAGCAGACAATGTTTGGTTCTTTTCGCTAACGGATAATGCGATAAGTTACAAGGAGTTTCCTAAAGAAGCATTTCTGGAAATCAATCGTTCAGATATCAGCTTAAAGAAAATAATTTTAAAGACATACAAAGAGAGTTTATTTTACTTCAAATCACCAAATCAACAGCATGCCTTTTCCAAAAATGTTTTGAACGAATTACAATCACAATTGGAATCATGCGAAAGCTTATTAGAATATGAACCAGATAGCAAATGGACTCTGTTAACATCGGCATTATTAATGCACGCAATTGATGCACAAAAGTATCATAACAAATCTTTGGAAAATCTTGAAAAGCTTCAAAAAGTAGATGCACTTCGTGAAAATTACTACAAAGACTTGGCTTCAAGATGGATACTTGAAAAATTTCTTTTAAACTGGATGGATTCAGATGCTGTACCTTACGAGTTGGATTTGCGTTCTGAAAATCTCAACGCTCTTTACTATAGCCAATACTTATGTATAGCAGACAAACTTTTGCTACCAAATAACTTAACAAATTATAGTTCTATGAAGCAATTGCAGGGTTTCAGTATCTTTGAATATTAATTTGTCTGTCTATACTTACATCAATATGTATCTTGCTAACCTACACAATCACTGTAATGCGGCATTTAGAAATATAAAATATGATAAACTATAACTTAGGAGACATTAGAACAGTATTGCATCTGTGGTTTTATAAATAAATAAATTTTCACATAAATTAAATAGCAAATGCTTTTAATTTCAGTATAACTAAATATTTTGTTATATCTAAAGTATATTTACATATTTCGTTGGGAAATTTTTTAACATATTTAACCATCGTTCTAAAATAAAAAAACTATATTAGTGAGCATATGACAAGAATATTATTCAAACTTGATGAAACATTCGATGTTGATGCTACTTAAATTTAATTGTCATCGTGTCAAAGTTACTTGCAACATATCGTTTACTCGTTATTTTTATATAATTTTCATATCCTTCACTACAAAGTATATCTAGATTCTTTAATAAGATAAGATTATTTAATAAAAAATAGATTATTAACAGAAATAGGTGCACACAAAGTATCATACCTTTGTCTGTGGGTACCAATTGAGTGTCATCGGTTTCTTACGCCCTTTGCATGATTCTTTAATGACTGCTTCATTTATTATGATTTTAGGCGATTTGCACTCTTCAAAGCTTAGTATATCCAGTTGCTTGGAATTCGATATTATTGAACAAACCTTATCTGGGTTTGTCGTGTGAGAACAGAAAAAATAAGCCTTTCTCAGATTTTCGTATAGACTGCCCATGCAGAAAATATCATCTAAGATCCTTACGTTAATTAGTGTTATTACTCTCACTTTCTTAAGGAATTCATAACTATTTGACATCATGTATTTATTAAGAAAAGCATCGTCTACATTGGCGATTTCAAGATCATGTACATCCCGTGGCACAATAAATTGAATATTCGTAAATAAATTGTCCATCTCCACTGATTCGAAAATAGCGCCGGTTATTGTTAGAGTTTTTAGGTTTTCGAAGAGGACTGGTCTCTTAACATCGTAAGAGCTGACCCAGCTTAATTCTTTGATGTTAAGAGTTATGTGTTCAATTTTACTTAATCTTAATAATTCTTCGTAGCCCAATGGGCTAACTTTTTTAAAAAGGTCTAAAGTCAGAGATTTCAAGTTGAGCTTTGTAATTAGATGCCGAAAATCATTTATGCTCAAGCTTCGACAGCATGTCAAAGACAAGTTTTCCAAATAACTGAAATGTTCCAAGGAGTTCTTGCAAATTCCATGTGGTGAAAAAGAACGTAGATTAGGGAACACATTGCTCAAGGATACGATATCTACATCACTCATAGGACGTTCTAAAGTAATTCGCATTTCACTGACATTTGGGAAGCAATAAGATTTCAACCGCTCAAAATATTCTTCTGGCATAAATATTACACTAATGTATTCAACAGTCAAACGAATAGAATAAAGAAAAAAACTAAAGTCGTCTAAACTTAAATATTCGCATTTTTTTGCAAACGAAATTTTCCATTTTTTATATTTTGATGGTAGCACAAAATCTTAGACAGATTTATAATATCTTGATCTGAGAGTAAGTCGCAAATTATAAGCCAACAATCTATGCCCAAAATTGAGGGGTCTTGAACAATGTTTTCCATTGTTTTGATTATTATTTATATTTTTATAGCAAACTTTATGGGGCGCTATCGATGTATAATCATTTGCAAGGCGATTTCATAAAAGGTGAAGTTGTTCCGTCATATGACTGCTTGTTGTTTCTTCCGTTTCCCCAAACTACACAGAAAACGCACAAGACGTGCTTGACAAGATACAGCTACTAATGCTGCAACTACCCATTTTACTTACCTTCCGTCCATAACAGCGGTATAGAAGTGCGAGATACATACACGAGTTTTCCACGCTACAGGAGAGCGGCGAAATGTTGCCAAAAAATCGATTTTGGCTTATGCAGGACAACTGTCACTAACAGCATGGGCAAGCGGTGACAGCTTTGTGCTTATATGGCGCTTCACAAGATAGGTTGCTACGGACTGAGGGTATTTCGTGCAGCAACTGCCCATCTTAAATAACTTCCATCCATAACAACCTATCTTATGAGAGCGCCATGCAAATACGAAGTGGTCAACGCTTGCCCATGGCGTTACTGACGGTTGTCCCGCAGAAAATACTCGTGTTTGTATATTCTATTGCAGTCGAGTGCTACGGCTGGGTGGTATGTAAAATGGCAGCAAATGAATTCATGTTTGTTCAATTCTGACAGTCGCTACGGTAAAGCAATAATAAAATACACGGTAATTGTTCTCATCTCTAATAATTCGCCGCGAAAGTACATGCAGAATTGACGAGATGCAGCAAGCTCTGTTCGGTGAGAAATGTCATTACAGACCTAAATTGGATTGTTCGGCCTAGCGTTTTTAACACCAATGAGTAGCAACTCGCACAATTCCTGTTGTTGTAGCGGTTCGCGCATTTCCTAAATAAGAGCGTTGACGTTTTCACATCCTCTTGAAGTTGGTATCATTTTAAGAACATTTATTGAATTAATTGCATTTATTTCAACTAAGATAATGATGAAATAATTTTCAGTGAATATTTATCATTTTATTTGTAAAATACAATTTATTTGTCAGATTTTTTTCCCACTTGCCTATTCCTTTTGGTCAGTTTCTCCTCTTTTCTTTCGCACTTCCCACCCTACTACATCATATAAAGCGCGGTAAAAATTTAAAATGTTAAATTTCACTTGTTTAGCGCTCAACTCTATAATCTCGGTATAGAGCCGTAAGAATTAGCCAGTAACGAAATGTCAGAAATGCGGTCTCTCAATATAAATTTTACTGACTTTATGTCTCACCGAACGCGGCTCAGTAAAATTCGGTGACAATTATGACAGAACTCATGCGACTAGTCAACACTCGAAAAAAGTGGGAGAAGCACTTAAGATCCTCTAACATCACCTTTGGGACAACCAAGCTCTGGCCCAAAGTCAAAGCGTTGTTAAGCCCGACCAGACGTGAGAATTCGAAATCCATATGCCAATGACAGGCGACGAAATAAGCATGCTAATGCTAAAACATCTAGGACAAGCGGGAGGACTTCAGCATGGCTTTCGCCAACAGCATTCAAATAGTCAATAGCCTCAAACAAAAACCGTCCCTCCCATTACTGTTTAACTTCTACATCCACAACAACAACAAAAACAAAAAATGCCAACACGTGTGCGACAAAAAAAAAAAATGATACAAATCGAATGTACATACCCAGCGAAATCAAAATTCGCCTTTTCTTTTGACAGACCTCGTATGCCCTCTAATACGGATATGTTGGCTGAAATGTTCTGAAATCAGCTGTTATTCCATCGAGCGTTTAAAAATAATAATGTAATTTACGCATATTTGACGACATCTTAAGACAAAATTAATCACTTAATTCCATATCAATAAATAAATAAATATTATCAAAAATTAGCAAATAGTTAATTTCATGTTAAGCTATGTACATATCTAATTAATGAAATATTAAAGTATTTGCTTTAATCAAGAAATACTAACAAAAAATTAACATTTACATAATAACAAAAAAGGTCCTCATTGCAAGGGCAGTTTAATTCAAGAGTAATCTTTGTCCAAGAGCCCTTGATTTCTTGCGCACTAGACCCGTTTTGGCCGATGCCAATGTCGGCAATTTGTTCTGCCAAGTCGAAAATGTGCTTCCTTTGTTGTCTGCTTGGTATTGACAAGCTTTTATTCTATATTTTATTGGAACTTACAACGTTAACACTTCACGACAAAAACATAACTGCTGTTAACAATTGCCGTCTCGGGTTGTGAACCGTAAAAGGGGTAAAAACTAAAGAAGCTTCATCGATGGATAGTCTATTTGTAATGTTGAAAGCAAGCACTTCTTGTAAGCAGGCGATTTAAGTAACAGTAATAAATAAGTAGGTTTTCAAATATTTAACTAGATAAATTTATTTAAAGTTAGGTTCTAAATATAATATGCATAGTTGATGACTATTTGCGAAGAAAATTTATTATTGTTTTTAAATATTATTGAAAAGTTTAGTTTGCATCTGTAAACGATGGTTTCAATAAGTTCAGGACACATTTACTACATACTACTGTTAACATACTTACTAATGTTAAATAGTGTATTCTGTATTTTAAAGCTAAATGTTTCATATTCAGCGAGTTTATATATATATTTTTTTTTTGTTAACGATTAAGTTTGAATTTGTTTATGCTTATGTTGAGATATTTTCATTTCAATACGCAATACGAGTACACGATACAAATTTAAATTTAAAAATTTAGAAAAATGTATACTGTGACATTCTAATAAATTCTTTTTTAATAAACTTTAAAGCATTTATAAATCAAATTTGTCCGAGTTGGATGGGTTATACTTATTTACATACGCACTTATGCATTTTTAGTTAGGTACATTCAGATGTAGGTATTTATTTATTGCTTGGAACTACATAATTAAATATTGGAAACAGTTTCGTTTCATTATATCCTTTTACTATTAATTTTATCTACATTTAAAAATTAAAGCAATTCCCTTGGGACCCCGAAATATTCGTAAGCTATGTGGGTATTGAATGAGCTTTAGAAAAATAAATTATACTTGGTTGATGTAGTAAACATAAAAAAAAACAAATTTTGACATGGTCGCAAATAAAATAACGATCGACGGTGGATCGAATTATATTTGGTAAATAAGAATGCACTTTCGGTTTGTAAGTCACAAATAGGGTCATAAGTGGCCTATGTGTTAGTAAATAGGTATAAATATACATATCAAAGCAGTGTTTAATATTAGTCATAATCGTTAATAGTATAAGTACTATATTAAAAGACTGAAAATCAAAAACACAAAAACATTAATTAATTTCCTTTGAAATATTGTACATATATTTTGATTTATTCAACTGTTATGAACAGTTTTTAAAAGAACTTTTGAAGCTTATATTATAAGTAGGCATATAATACGAAATTACTTAATACGAAAAGTATACACAAAATGTTTAAATCGAACGAAATGTACAATTGGAAATACATTGCAATTGACGCCACATTTCATATAACACGAACAATGCTGGAATGCGCATAAAATTCAATTTCATCCCTAATCTGTCAATCCATATACAAAAGTATGCATGTATTTGCTAAGTCAAATATAATCATTTAGTCATAATTTCTATACCTCATTAATGATACATATATGTAAATATCTGTTTAAATTTTTTTGTACAAACAATAATTTCATATTCCATACATTCATTTAAGGTTCTCTCATTAAAGCCATAGTTAAAAGTAAAGAAACCCGATTAGTTTCTACTGTTTTTAAAGTTTTGCTAAGTGGTAACATCAGCTGCTTTATTGTTGATTTTTATGTCAATTTATTCGAGTATGTTTTAAGATTACAAAAAATATACATTTGCAATAAGTGGATATAAAATATATGTTCATTTATATTTGTTTGTATGTGGATTTTTTTTTATGCTGGTGTATAATAACACACACTAGCTAAATTGTGTAAAAATTTGTTACTTGGATAATTTGTTTTATAAAGTTAGTTTCTGAATTTCGTGGTCTTGTTGCCTGCTTCAGCTTCGAAGAGAAATTCATTCTTCGACAATTACTAATTACTATGTATGATCTAACAAACATAAATATTTCCATTTTTAATTAAATCAATAAATATTTCGAGTGATTAACTCATTTTGCATCCTTCTTTCCCATTTCCATTACTGTTCTTCTTAATCTAAGTCTACACATGAAGAAAATTATTGAATTATCTTGTTTATAGCTGCAACTACTCGATTAAAATACTATACATTTCACTTAAGGAACAATAATATAATATTCCATATTCATTATTATTGTTGTCCTCATTAAAATTTTTGTGTAAATTAGATACTCAGCTAAAACTAAATTAACATTTTACTGAAATCTAGTCATATATATACTCATTTTTTGTTTAATATTCCCCCCTCATTTTATATTTAAGTTAAATATATTTGAAATTCGTTAAGGGTTTATTGCCCCTTTACTATTATTAAATTGTGTACATGTGTTGGGGGTGTGGGTGTTCGGGAGGTAAGAGGTGAGAGGTGGAGGTGTGCATACATTTCAGTGCACAGCATCAATATCTCTTTGCGCTCTTGAGATTTTCAGCTTGTCTTTAGGCGTATTATCTTCCCCTGATTCCAGGGCAAACATTTTCATTTTTTCCTTGAACGATAATTTCTCTGGCACAGCTTCCGTGTTACGTTGCTGTTGCTGCTGCTGCTTCTCAGCAAGTCGTCGCTGGCGTGGATCCCTATAAATGTACGATACATTGAAATTTCCAAAACGATTTGGATGTTAATATCAAATCTAATTTACCTATACACTTCTTGTGCTCCAATAACGCCTGGGGTGGATTGCACTGTTGTATTCCAAAGAACGGAATCTGGGGTGGTTGGCATTGTTTCTAAAACGGTATTGTCGAACATACGCGCACGATGCTGAAACATTGTATTTCGGTTATTACTTTGAATGAAACATAAAAGATCAGTTGAAGAATGAGAGAAAAAAATTTGTCTTATTGATCTCAAGCTAGTTACATGCAAGCAACAGAGTTACATTTCAGATCAACCAATTATCAAAAACTCGCGTTTTATAATCTTACAAAAAATACTCTAAGCATTTTTAGTTTACATAAATAACATTTTCCCAAAAATATTAGGAGACAAAGAAGATCAAATTGAAGTTCGGTAATTTAGGCTAGCCTCGCCTGCTCCTAAGCGGGGTTTGATAGCCGTTATAGCAAAAACTGTTGTTGTAGCTCAAATTGGCAAAGTCGGTAGGACATTAATTGTTACTGTTTTCTGGGTTTGCGAATTTTTAGGAATTTGGCTAATTTTTAAGCAAAACAAAAATATATTTGATCGATATTAGAAGTAGCTCAAACCTTCAATGAGTGTATTCGGGTGAAGGTAGAAAATTATGAAATGATAAAATATATCAATTGTTTTATTTTATTTTTAGCTCGAACTAATTTTTTCCGCTACGAATGAAACATTCGAAATTGAAGAAATGAACTTACATTTCTATCCTCGAGTATGGCGTCCAGATCTAGAGGAATTTGAGAATCGGCATTCGTCGCATACATATCGAAAGCGGATCCGCTTGTACCGCTTGTTCCATATAATTGCCCAGAGCTCATGTAGTTGTTCTCCTCGTCGTGGAATGAAACACGCTTATTATCCCGTAACAACATATTGTTCACATAGCCAGACTGTGACAGTTCCCCAGTTGACATTTGTGACATACTGTTGCTGTTCATCGTTGCGGCATTGACAGATGCAATCGAGGTGGGTGAGTTTGCATTGCTATTGTTGTTGTTTATAATTGCATTATTATTCAACATATTAGCTTTCTTGGCTAAATTCTGGTTCTGATTAAGCAAATCAGCTGAATTACTGGTGGCCGTTTTCAGAAGACCAATGGAGGAGTTACGTACTTTTTGCTGAGACATGATAAGATATGAGCTATTACGCTCTGGTGGTGGAGGTGGTGGAACCGTTGAATTATCTGTGGTTGCATCATGAGATGGTGATAAGCCTTCTGTAGACGTTAAGCTGTTAATTGACATTTGTGAAATGTCTTTGGTCAAACTTGATATGGGGTGTTCTGTTTGCAAGTGCCGATCATCCGCAAAACTTGTTGATTTTTGAGATTTGGACGGTGATGATGGTGCTGTGCCAGTGCCGCTATCGTAACGATTGTTTTTCAGAATACTTTTTGGCTGCATTATTGTTGTTGCAACAGGCCCTGCCGTTGGCGGTGGATTATTCGGCAGAGGTGGTGGTTGGTGTTGTTGTTGTTGTTGTTGCCCTGGGGCCAAATCAAAACCCCCAGCAGCTGAGTTTCGCGCCGATGACAAAGGTGACGCTTCCATTGATCCCGCGCTACTGTTGTTGCCACCGCCAGCATTGTCCAACATGGTTGCAGTTTTAACCTCGGCCTGCCTGAAATTCAATAACGGAGTTTGCATGGAGCTCGTTTGTTGTCGCAAAGCTTCTTGCACGCTCTCTTTCTCATATGAGGGTTCGCTCTCATCTTCGTGTTCCTCCACCTCGAGTGCTCGCCGTTCAAAATCACGCTCTAGAATTAGAGTTTTCAGTTGTTCTTCCTGTTGAGTTGTTCTTTGCACCAATGAAGAAAGCTCGGCAATTTGTTGCTCCCGCCACTGACGTATGTGCTCTCGTCGCATTTCGACCTCCTTTTCCCGTTCTTCGCGTTCCCAGGGATTAGTGCCTATAAAGTTTTTCTGGTTTTGTAGCGCCGCAACAGACGAAATAGGCATATACCCACCTTTTGGCGGATCTATTGAGCTGGCGACATAGTTCATTCCGGGTGTAATTTGTTGGCTTGGCTTGAAGAGCGGGTGCGTAGCTGTAGGCGGCAGTGGTGGTTTGTCTTCGACGCTTTGTTGATATAATGTGTTCTGCTGTTGCTGCTGTGCTTGTTGCTGTTGTTGTTGTTGTTGTTGTTGCATATACTGTTGCTGTTGCATTCGGTTTGGTTGTGGTTTCGGTGCCGTTGGTGGCAATTGTTGTGCCTGTTGCGGTTGCTTCGTTGGGGACACTTGCTGCATGTTGCCTGGTTTCGGCGGCAATGAAACAAAGTTCTGCTGCTGCTGTTGCTGCATAACATTAGAAAGGTGTTGTGCTCCGTCGCTGCCACCTTGCGATAGCAACTCATGCCGAGGATTACGTCGCAAGGTCTGAGCGGCTGGCGAGTGCTGCTGTTGCTGCGGCTGTTGCATATACCCATCACCAACGGCGCCATTCTGGTATGCGATGGTGGGATCAATTCCACTCATGTTTACATTTTGCATGCTCTGACTTGCCGACATATGTTGCTGCTGATATATACCACTTATGTTTGGCATGGAAGGGGCCATTATTTGCTGCATTCGCAAACTATGTTGATTCTGCATGTCCCGATTGAAATTCTGGGTACTCCGAGAACGGTTTCCCATCGTTAATGAAGAGTGAGGCGCCATTTGCGACAAAAGTTGCTGCTGCTGTTGCTGTTGATATTGTTGCAGGGTCGCTGCAGACATGCTGCCACTATTTAAATTGGTGCTACTAGCGCTGATATTATGTGTATGGTGCATAAACTGCTGTTGCGGTTGATGTGCCGCCAAATGCTGTTGAAGTTGATTATTGCTTGCTGACGTTAAGTCACTGTTGGACGGATTGGCCGAGTTATGATAATAAGCAGACGCTGGGCGCGTTGGTGGCATATTATTAGATCCCGTCGGGGAAGTCATAGATAAATGGTGTAGTTGCTGCTGCTGTTGTTGTGATGTAAATACTGGGTGGTGCATTGATGAAGCTCCATTTGTTGGAGTCAATATGGAATTCGGTCCGTTGTGGGAGTTTCCAGGGTGTGTGTTTATCGCGGAATGTAGTGACATTGCCGGCCTGGACCAAAAATAGTAAAAAAAAAACAGTTTATAAAAATCGAAAAGCCAAGTTTTAAACATTTTTTTTTTGTTAAATTAAACTTATGCTTATTCCTTTCTATATGCTTCGTGAAACGTCACTGAAAACATAGCTCCTCATGAAAATAAAAAAAAAATTAATTAAAGGATGTCTCTAAGTAAGGTATTTTGAAAATTTGACGATAAGATGTAGTGATTTACTGATGGTTCCAAAACATAAATGCATAAGTATTTTTGAACGACTGTTATCGTTTTTAATTTTCGCAACATTGACAAAATTAAAATTAATAAAAAAATCATTTAAATAAAAAGAAAACTAAAAAGCTATGGAACGCATAGAAATCCAACTATTTCGGCTGTACAGAAATGATAAGCATGACAGACAGTTTTTCAAAAGTACCGACAAAGGTAAGATCAATTGCAATAGTGAATTTAAAACATACCTTTGGGTTAAAATCGGTTGGCTTTGATTTTGTGCACGATAAACGCTTAAGTTCTGATAGAAACCCTGTTCGTTGTTGTTTAGGCTGTTGACACCGCCAGTTATATTGCTGCTGGTATTGGGATTGGTAACTAGGCTGTGTGTGCTGCGTGATTTCGAAACATTCATGGCTAGATAACAAACAGAAATAACAGAGAAAACAAAAATTTCAAATTTCGATGAGCATATTAATATATTTAGTAAAATGTGCTCTTTAAGTAAAATATATACATTAATTTTGACTTACAAATAGTACCACTTCCAGTGTGATGGTGCAGTGCTGGTACTGATTTACTATTAGATAAATTATTATTAGGTATGAGGGGACCAACGGTTTTGGATTCTGTTCCGCTCATTCGTGTTAGGTCACGTTCAGACATGCGACGATTACCTGCGATGGCATGAGGTATACAATTATGATGGCGATGAAGACGACAACCACAGCGATCATTATAAATCACATCCCATGCAGACAGTGAGATTTTGATTTTATTAAACGAAAACGCAAATGGGGCGAGACAAATTGAATAACCAATTACATTTCAAAAATCGGATGTGCATGGGGTGGTGAGTTATGCAAATGTTGTTAAGACCGAATATTAGATATGAAAAGGAAAGGAAAATTTTATTAGAATTCTGAAATTTAGAAATAACAGCTTAACAAGCCTAATATGTGCATTTCGAATTCGTCTACAAATACATGCAAGTGATCTTACAAATTTAATCACGACATAATAACATATTATAAATCTATCTAAAATAAAAATTATTACTAAATAAAGAAACATTAAAAACAGATATCAAAATACATTTGAAATTGTTAAATATATCTCCCCTCCTTCAGATTTCAGTGCCGGATGTTTTTAATTCTTCAACTAATCTCAATTAGCAGGCCCAGCGAAACATTTATAGTCTCGTTGTGAACGAAAAAAAAAAAAAAATTAAAATAAAAAAGGAAGATCTTTCGTAAAAATTAATAGCAAGAGAAAAATATTCTACAAAATATATGTAAGTGGGATCACAGTGCCATAGGGATGCAAACCTTTAGGAATTACTTGAAAAAATTACTTTGCACTGAATGAAAAATTTATTTCTCAATCAATTCAAAGAAGCTTATTTAGGTTCACATCCCTGACGTAGCAAGTAATATGCCTCTAACATAACATTATTGTGGTGTCAACCTTTATTGTTCAACTTTCATAAGCGATGCCGTCGACATCAACTTGTGTTGGATCATCATTTAGTACTGAAGTTGAACAGGGGCGTACGTCACATCTTGTTATCGTAGAACTTGATGATGTAGTAGTGATATCTTTTTCACTTTCCTTGGCTAACACAGAAGGGTATTTGCAATCTTCAGAACTTTTCTGTTGTTTTTGATTTCGTTTAACAGCTCGCACCGTGTTTCCTTTTGCAGTGGACATTACACTATTTTGCCTTTTTAATTGGTTTTGTGTGATTTTATGACAACTGTCGTAGCATTTAAATGAAGGAGTCGTTGGTCCTACTGAAGATTTGGCATTTTCTTGAGTGGTTTCGTTGGGCTCTAAGATATTTGTAACAATTTCTTTCTTACAATTGGCACAACAGGGACAATCACAGGTAACAGTGGTCTTAACGGATAGCTTTGGTACTGGTGTTATTAACTTATGTGCAGTATTCACATTAGAAGGTGCATTGGAATTTGATATATTATGAGTGTCGTATTTATTTTTAAGAGTTTCGTTGATTCGTTGCTGGGTTTCGTTTTTAAAAGCATTTTGTGAATTGCTATTTTGTAGATTGATTTTATAATCTTTGCCATTAGTGCCATGCAAACTCCACTCTTTAAGTTGTTCCAAAATTTCCAGTTGTTCTTGCTGGGATAGTTTCTTTGTTTTACGTGGCGATGTAGCTTCTTTGGTCGGGTATAAGTAAGATGCCGATTTGGAAAACATATTTGACATTCCGGAACCAAAGTCTCTCGGACTTCTACACGCATCAAAAGATTTGTTGCGCTCGAAAAATTCTGCCATTTCACGTACCTTTCCCTCTCCAAATGGTTTACTAAATTGGTGTGAATGTTCATTATCATCTTTGTTTGGCTGATTCGATTGGCATTGCGAGAGTGTGAGTGTAGTTGTGTGTACATGACAAGATGGCTGCGTTGGTGTACCAAATTCTGTGTGGGTTGGATAGTGTGGAAAATTTATGTTTGCATGGCTAAGAGAACGTTGTGGATAGTAATTATGGACTGTTTCAGAGGAACTTTCGATTTCATAAATACTAGGAACTTTAATTGTAACAACTGTGTTGGTAGTTGCTGTTGCTGATGGATTACCACCTGTTCTCACATAGGAATCAGAGACAGTAGTGCGGGAGGCAGAAACAGACTTTGAAACAGAAGTGTTTGTGATATTTACAAGATTAGTGGGATTTAGTATAGGAGCAGACCTTTTGGTTTGACTAGCGCGCTGCTGGTTACCGCTTAAGCCACCGCCAGATGTGGCGCGAATTGCATTTAGTTCTCGCTTGGGACGTGGTATGGTTGGTATGGTCGTTGCATTTGATGCAGTGTTTATATTTAAATCACGAGTTTGTTTGTTAATTAATGTAGTTTTTTCAATCGACTCATTTGAAGATCGGTTGCTATTTGAACCGCTACCAGAATTATTACCGGACACGATACTTCCAGAGGTGGATCGATTAGAGTTTAGCTCTCGTCTTATTTTCTGTATTAATGGCATACGTTCTCGCTCATTTTTATCTAAAGATTCGGTGGAAGAGCGACTACTATCAAATCCAGCACGACTAAACTTACTTATGGCATCGTGTGTATGGAATTTTCGATTGATACCCGTCCCTCGGTCTAGTGAAATGCTATCACGACGGCGCGATTTGTTCTCCTCTAAATCGAAACTTACTGTCTTACGGTAACCAGGAGCATTGCGACGTACGTTGCTTATAATACCGGGCGGTTGTGGTTTCACAACATGTTCTATGCGCTTGAGCAATTGTGATTGTGGAGGCTCTTTTTGCGATGGGTATACATAGACTTGTACATCTTCAGTTGGCGACCCGTCATCTATAAATGGTATGTCATCTGAATCGGCCACAGATGCTATGCCATCTTCATTGAGTGGTTGATGAGCCTCGGTATAAGATAAGTTGGTGAATGAGTCATTCGAGGAACGTTGATTTAGATTATTTGGACATGGTTCAGGGTCCGTATATTCCTCTATATATATTGACGGCGGTGGTGTACTTGTGTTCAATGTACTATTGGTGCGTTGACGCACTGGACTGGTGTGAAAGTAATTATTGTTGTTTTGGACGTTGTTCAGATTATTCTCGTTCGACAGGTAAAGACTGCTAACTGAACGAGCGATGGGACGTGTATCACGATAACGTGGATCAATGTGCAGTTGGTGGCCTCTCGCACAAAGTACTTCCTGCAAGGAGGATGCACTCAAACGTCGCACTGGTGGCGATGAAGAACGTAAATAATCTAAAGATTCTCGCCGACCACGATTTAAGCTGTCATCAGAAGCCGAAGCAAAATAACCATTGTTATACATCGAGTGACGGCGCTGATCGTGATGCACCGCCGACGATACGTTCGCTAGAGGTTCTGATTCTATATTTTGCAGATTTTTATATAATTTTTACACAAGTTAATTTTGCCGAAATGTTGAGAGATTATTTTGTTAATTGGCAGCATGTAAGGGAGGAGTTTAGTAAAAAAGCTATTAGCATTCATTGATATTGTGTAAATTTATTACGAAATGATTATATGGCGTACTGGCACGAATAACTATCTTACTAAATGGAAAATACATTTACAAATTATTTAGAACTACAATTTTTATCATTCTACCCCATCAATATACGTAATGCATTTAAAATTGCTTACCTCGCGCTATGACTGGACTTGGTTGTTGTAGTAAAGTTGCCAAACCATGATAAATAGCTCCTTGCTTTGCCACCTCCAAAGTGACTACTGGGCCAGTGCGTACAAGATAGTCCGCCGCCCTGGAAAAGACAACATTTCAGATACTGTATAAAAACTAAAGTTTATTTATTTACTTCTCTTGAGTTATGCCAATTAAACTCTGTCCGTCGACACGCAACAGTTGATCGCCTGCTTGGAGGCGTCCGTCAGCGTCAGCGGCACCACCAGGTACAACACTCTTTATGTATATCCCTAAACGTTCCTGGCCGGCGCCCTTGGCAGCGACTATGGACAAGCCCATGCCATTTGCATTCTTGTGCAATTTTATTACTTGAACCTCTGGTTGTGGCAATTTATTAGACATAGCGCTGGATGACCGGGCCTGAAAATATAACATGATGTCATTTCTATTCAATACGATTTACTACTACATATACGTACGTTGAATTGATGCATATAAACTGTCCATAAACCAATCGAAGTCGGTTGGGCAGCGAGGCGACACATGCCTTGTTGTTGAAGTGGATTTAAAAAGTCAACCAAACCAGACGGTATACCACGTACAACGTCACAACTAAAACCATCATCTGGCAATAACAATGCTAAATGCAGTTCTGGCGATTCTTCCAACCGAACCTCACGACCATCCGAACGTGTTAGCTCATCTGCAACCGACTCAGCCATTCTGATTGCGGTGTCTACTAAGTTTCGCGGAATCTTCTCTTGTTGCAATAGGGCTGACATTTGCAACGAGTTCAATCGGAAACAAGAGCATGCCAATTGCTGTATTTCCTCGACTGACGACTTGGGTGCCTGCAGAAATTGAGCGCATTGGTTTATTTTGGCCAAATGACAATCGGCTGCTAGTTCAAGACCCTGACGTTCAGCCCATAACTCTAGTAGCTGGAGTCGCTCAGACATCACTTTGCCCCATTCTGCAGTACACATGTGAGAATTAGCCACAATCTGAAAGCAAAATAAAATGTTACTGTTGACATTTTTGTCCTGCTCGTACTCTTGATTCAATAAAAAACAAGAAAGTCTTATTCGACGAAAATGAAATAAAACATCAACAAACTTTCTTTGCTCACCGTGTTAAAGCAAATCACATTTATGTAATGGAAAAGCTGGCTAAATAGTTGAATTGTCAGTGCAGCATTAACTCGACAACGACGCAACAATGCCATTGCGGACCCAAGCACTGTCAAAACCAAACCCGCGGCCGAATCATGGTCAATGGTTTCCGATAGAAATTGATTTAATGTCTGTGAGAGTTCCATGCGGAAACAGTTCACCAAATTACGAAAGGCGGTTTGTACGCTTTCAGCCAACACCTCTTGTGCTTGCACACTAAAAGCACTGATATGACGGTCCGATTTTAGAAAATGTAGGAACTCTGAACTATTTGCCATCCAAAAAGCCAAAATTCGTGGATCGGAATATTGTTCCTGTACAACGGTATATATCAAATTGGCCACATGATGCAGAAATATCGTTAGCTTATGTGCACGTTCAGTGGGTTGAAGTTCTGGTCGATAGTGAGTCGATGCGCGATACCTAGTTGAAAGTAGCGAAGCAAAAAGGAATATATAAATTAATGCACGACACTTTGGCTAAGTTGGTATAAAAAATAAAAATATCCAAAACTAATTTTGCGATTTAGCTTGGTTTAAAACTCACGTGTTACTATGTAACCGCCGCTGAGCAAATTAATATGTCAACAAATAAGGACATCTTAATTAAAACTTTTCTTAGTACAGTCGCTTTAAGATAAAGAATAGTTACGAATTTCGAATATGAAACTAAAAGTTTCTTATAAAAATTTATCTGCTATTTACAAACGGTTTAAAACTTAACATTCCTCATTTCATCATAGAAAACTGACTTCATTTATGGCACGTAAAAATATATTTAAGTCTTAGCTTTAGCGAAATATGTTGGAAATCCAACCATTTCTCATATAAGCGTAAGCTCAAATTTAGGAACTAGTAAAACAATTGAAGTCAGATTAACGATTAGACTTAATTTTGAAATGTGGTTGTGTTAAAAAAAAATTTTTAAGTGCATACATCCGAGTACAAATATTTAGCAGTTAAAATAGCAGGAGCAATTTATAAACCATAACATGTAGACTAATTTCCATTGTTTCAAGGTGGGATACTTGTTAGAACATTTAGCTAATTAGCAAATATTTCGTTAAGTGCACATCGAGATAAATGGCAAAGGCCAACGTTTATTTGACACAAGTGGTTGACAATATATAACATAAAGCCATGTCATTTAGATTTCTGCCCTTAATTGACACAACGAATGAAATATGTTATAAATATTCAGGATCATGCAAGAAAATAAAAGTAGTATAAACCGTTCCTTATTCTATTTTTACCTGGCACACAAATACAGTGAATATACGGGCGCCAATTTAAAATGCGGCGCATTCACATCCAACTCCGATATAATATGCCTTAGGAATAGTTCCTGATGTGTTTCAGGAAATTCCAAGACAGCTGGTAAAATAGCTTCCTGTCCTTGATTCTCCACTCCACTCCCAATTTTCGGCGACCTACGAGATAAATTTAAACAAATTATAAATACAGCATACATAAATAGATACAAATATAATTAATTTTTGTGTTAGAATCATGATTTCGAGACAAATGTGAATTTAGCACTATAATGAAATGATGAAATTCACGAACGAAAATTATATTTTAATCAATATTAGCAAAACAAACAAATGTATGTTCAACTAAATAATTGTAAAACATTTGTATGTACGTCTTTATATGTACTTTGAATTTTTTTCTTCTTTTTTATGAATTAACATAATTCCATTTTTTGCCAGCTATTCCAGAATTAAGAGAAAAGAACAATTCAAAAATGTTTATCAGTTTAAAATGGAAATAACTCTCATTCAAATTACCTCTCCTGGCTATTGGAGCCCCCTGACTTCAAGCTCGAAATGGACTTGGTTTCGTTCTCCAAGTTACCCTCAATACTTTGACCATCGAAAGCTGAACTGCCAGCATGACTATGATGATCTCCTGTTCGCTGCTTGTTATCATCTTGATCACGTGTGCCCAAAGATTGATCGGTGGCACTTACGCCTCCACCCACATTTCCACTGTTATTGCTGGTGGTGCCTGCACTGTCATTTTTATGAACCTGAACGGCGTAAAAGTGAATCTTAATTACTCGTCCTTGAATATTATGTAATTTTACAAACTCACCGAATTCAATAAGCCATCTTCATCGTTCCATGAGCCAGGCGAAGTTGGTGATCGGCTGTCAGTTGGAGGTTTATTTTTGTCGTTGACAGCATTTCAAGTTGGTTCAAATTCGTTGCCAGTGAGTGATGGATTTGTGTGTGTGTTTATGTTAGTTTAAGTAATTTAGGATGTGGGTAAATAAAATGGGATGTGCGAGGGCGGTCATAGATGTTTAATAGGTATACAACAATGATAAATATGAAAATAAAAAAATGTTTTAAGGTGTTACAAATAAATTAATAAATTATGATACAATAAACATATAAGATAATTTAAGCGAGAAAGCGAAGGTTGCCATGTTCATTAAGAGTTTAATCAATGCGCACTACATTAAACATCAATAATGAATGCACATAAAACACATTTTCGAATTAAATATAAATACTATTGACAATAGTCCACATACCTTTCGTAAAGACAGGCTGAGTCCAATTGGGACTGAGATAATGCCAGATTATATCGTCCATCGGTCGGTGAATCCACAAATCTGTATGAAGCGACTCGTCCGAACATTACGACAGAGCCGTTCTAAGCAAAATATTATAAGAAAGTAATTTATTTAAAAAATTAGTAAAATTTTAAGCTTCGGAATTAATTACAGTTAAATACTTTTCCAAATACCAACTTCCACTATTCACCAATTCACATTTCAAACTAAATGAGGGGCGTTTAAATTGACATCATCATGAATGCTTGCCCCCGATAATGTTGTATTGTATAAAAAAAATCGACGGGTCAACAAGAGAAAGGCAAAATGCAAAACGAATAAAAATAAGCACAAGTTGAATACGTTTGTTGATGCTTGTTGGCCCATTGACTTGTAAACATATGCGCGTACATATACACACTTTTGTTTTGTTCGAAGTCTAATAAACGCCCCTTTTTATGTTACAAATCTCTAAATTGGTGCACATAATCATAATTTGAATTATAAAATAGTTAGCTACTTTATACACTAATACACATACAAGAGTTTGCACACGTCCAAGTTTGCATGCATAATTGTAGCCATTTGAGATTGTTTGCTTTTATAACACGTAACTTTTCATTTGCTTTGCATTGTTTTCCTGTAACCAGCGTCAATAATTGTGGCGGACTTTAAAATCTTCAAAATTTTTAATTTAAACGTATAGTAAAGTAAGCAGAGATATACTTTAACATTGCTCTTTGATGGGTACATGAATTAGTGGTCGATTAAAACTGCTTTATAATTATATTTCTTTCGATTGGTCACTATATGAATTGCAGTTGATCGATGATAGAGGGGTCTTCTCAAAGGATACCTGAAGTTTTATGTACATATAGCTAAGCAAATAAGGAACATTTGTTTGCAATGATTGAAATTGGAATAAAACCCGAAAACATTTAAAAGGGTACATCATGCGGTTTTAACAAAAAATTGCAAAGTTGCAGAAACTGATGTCAAAAAAATCATAAAGCGCTTGGGCTCCATTACAATTTGTTTAGAAAAGATCATTCCTGAGGATATAATTAAAAATGGGCCGTATTAGCAGAGTTGGTAACCTTAAAAAATAAGTAATGTTCAGGTGCTAAAAATCAATGAAAAATCGACGGATAGCTTCACGTGTTTGGCCATTTGAATTGCTGCCTAGCTAACATAAAGATCGTGAAAGCGTGGAATTTTCAGGTGAAGAACCGTGCATTACACTTTACGTAATGAATCTCCGTGGTAAGGCATACCTGTCATAAGAGGCAAGTAAAATCCAATAGCTTCCGCGACAGTTGGGTCTCTAAACTAGATCGATCCGGATTTTTATCCGACTAAGGATTGTAATTCCTGCAATATTCCCCGAAAACCAATTCCTAGAATATTTTACGGTTACAACCACAAAAAAGCAACAACCCACTTTACGTAATTAAATAATTTGCTTAAAATTAGTTAAATGTGCATATCCCCGCCTTTTGTATATCTATCTATCTATAAAATCACAACCTTCTCTTTCTTCTTCCTTTCTTTTTTCTATTTACGTGTATGCTGCATTTTTTATTAGAGGATATTGTTTAAAAACATTAATTAATATTTTTAGATATTTGGTTGAAAACAGATAAATGTTATGTGATTAAGTATGAGGTCGGTTTAAAGGCCTTTGCTTTAATAAATAATTAAGAAAATAATGGGTTACAGTAAGAAATGGTTAAATTTACTACTACAAAAGCAGAACAACAACTCTCCTAAATAATATTATTGTACATATAGAAATTTAGCCGATATTTTAACATAGAGCAGTGAAGGCATGAAACATTAATATCCATACATATTATATATATGTTGTTGGCTGGTACTTATTGAGAACTGGGAGTGGAAGTGACAGACATCACTTTAGTTAGACAAATAAACTAAACTTTACATGGAAAAGTTAACATTACTTATTATGTGGTACTCACATGCAGAATGGTGGGCTGTGTTATATGATGGCCATTGACAAAAGTTAAGGCATCGGTATGCAGTGGAGTCACAGTACAAACACCCTCTAACAATGAAATAAGACAATGGCGCGCTTGAATAGATGGTCCAAATAATTGCAAAGTATTTGTGTTTGCAGAGCCGACCTGAAAATAAATAAAATTTTCGAAATATGTAAATGCAAAAGCGGCAAATTCAATTCTGATTCCGTGGACCTTACCTCGATTGGATCACTGCCTAATTTAATGCGACGACCACCGTCGCCACTATGTGTTACTTCGACCAGAACTGCACCCTCCCGATCGCTGGATATGCTGTTCGCTCCGTTTGAGGCACCTAGCGGTTTTTTCTTTCGCCGACGTGGTTGAGAGTCCGCTGGACGCCTCCTCACATGGAACATAATGGAACCTGCAAATCAATGAAATAATTTTCGATTTATTAATAATAACATTCAATGACACGTAATGAAATATCAGCAATGTTTTATGTATTTAAAAAATTAAATATGGTTGAGTTTATTCATACGAGTTAAATTCATTTTATATTGGACCGAGCGCTAAAAATCGTCTGTTTGCTTTGGGGGACTAAAGTAAATGTTGTATAAATTAACTGCCAGTTCGCCCCTTTCATTTACCACAATTAATTGCACAAAATTATTTGATCTAAAACTGTTTTGACAAATACTGTAAATTATGTCGATTTGTGAGAAAAATGTACATTTAGTGTGAATTTTTTCTATTGTTTGTATGTACTCCTATACAGCGTCCAATATTAATTCCAACTAACGGAAACTGTGAGGCGTTTTAAATACTTTTCTAGTGTTTCGTTAGAATGACCAAGAATTTTAGCCCTTTCTTATAAGTATGCAAGTAAGTACGTGTATGTATGTATACATAAGTTTAAGCGAAACGAAAATAATTGTATAACTGGCTGATAAACATGTAAATAGTAAATTTAAATTCTCATACAAAAAAGTTGACTCCGTTTATCATTCATAAGCCATTTTACGTTTACATGGATAACCACAGCGTTTAAAATTTCCTAAAATAAATAAAATTTAATTTAAATGTCCATATTTAACTGTTTTTCTTCGTTGAAAGAACTAAAGATTTCTATTATTTCTACTATTAAGGGAAGAAGCTGATTTCGAGCGCTAAAAAAATGGGCGTAGAAGATGTAAATTCCGTAATTTTTGTTCTGGATGAAAAAATTAATTTTTTTTAGTTTCTTTATAACAACAGCAAAAGACGTACGTAGAATTTTTCGATATTTTGTTTTTTTTTTCGCGAAATGGTGCACGTTTGAACAAAAAGTTACAAGTTTCACTACAAAAAACGATATAAAATTGTTGATTAAAAAAACTATGTAATATATATATATATAAATCATACGTACGAATGTACTGTCAAAATTTCGTAAGAATCGGTGAAGATTGTTCGAGTTCGGGGCATACCTGCGAGGCACTGCCGTCGAACGAAAAATTTGGGCATTCAGACATTTTTGCCGGCATCCATCTTTTCGTATGTTGCTTCTAAGACCCTAAGCAAGACAAACATTTTTTCGATTTTTTCCAAAATTCTAGACCAATTTCTTTCCCTTAATAATAAAATAAAACAGTATTTCGGTGAAAAAAAGTTTTGCCCAAGTAAAGTTTAATAGTAAAATAAACGAGATATAATAACGCGTGTTCAAAGACTTAAGTTTTGATAGCTTCTTTAGAACGATTTCAGATTGATTGCACCAATTATGCGGTTACTTGCTTGTTATTTTAAGCTAATCCACTCTTTTTCCCACAAATGATACATCGGATTCAAGTCTGGAGGAGAAGTAGGAAGAACGAATAAGTGACCAACATGTGCTCTATGCTTGGGATCGAAACTTTGTTGAAAATGAAATTGATTCCCAGTATTCAATATTCTACGCTTTGTTAAGTTTTCTAGCAATTTCATAATAAAATAGGTACCCAACACGTGACGTCGCCATGCAGCCCTATATGATGACTCCACCATCTTCACGCTTTATATTACTTTTCTTAAGACATGTATCCAACTATTGCATTGGGAAATGTTTAACTTGCTCTCGTATTTACACAATTCTGCCTATTATGGTTGGCGTCGCCGACGCGTCATCGTTTTTTAGTCGACATCCCATCGAAGAAAAATTGTTTTCGCAGAAAATTATTGTCACTACGATGACAGTGTATTGATAAAATAAATATCACTTATGCGTTAGCTGTCCAATTTTGTTCAGATTTTTTTTGAATTCAAAGGATTTCAAAGCATAAAAAAATAAGATTTCTGCCTTTTATTTAGTACAAAATTTTGCGCGCGACTTGGTCCGCATGGAATTCAAAGATGCGATAGTACGATTTTTCGTTAGGTTTATTCCGATTTTTCCATCAGCTTGATCAATGATCTACTTCTCGGAATGAATAGTTTCAGTTTACATACATATGTATGTTCCAAATATTAAGTAACCCAAACCATAAGTACGTTTTGTCTGCATAAAACGATCCCAAGTTCACTTTCCGGAAGAAAAAGTGTTCCCCATGTGATTCTAAAGAAAGAGGCATGTCAGTCCGCACAAGGAGCTATCTCTGCAACAAAAATTTCGTGTAAATCGAACGATTTAAAAATAAATTAAATTTTCTGTCCTAATTCCCCTTCCCAGATAATTATTTCTAATCGTCATACGCAGGGCACACCCTCCAAGTTTTAGTTCTTTATGATCAGTGATTTAGGCTGCAGATTGATTCATCAGCCGTTCACCTTTGCCTGAATTATAAATAAAAAAAAGAAAAGAATATTGAAAACAGAAATTAAATAACTTGAACTAAGGAATTAACTGTAACTGTTTACAACATTGGTAGATTATATATGTATATTGGTATAATATATATGTATGAATGAATATAAAAAATGCCCTAGAAGAATGCTCAAAGGTGGCAACTTCATATTTCTCTCACCAGTTACGTTAGTCTCTAAAATTTCAAACTGAAACTAACGTTAAGTTTGCATATCATGTTCATATTTAGTTTACCAGAAAGTCTAAGCGACAAATTGTTGCAAAGCAAGTTCTCCATCAATCTTCGTCCTTTTAGAGGAATTGATATCTTTATCATTGGATCGCTATAAGGCACAATCAATAACTTAAACATTTCACGTAATAACCAATTTAATTAAAACACTTGGGAAAATACTTCAAACTAGAAATAATAAACTATATGAATGAACGAATTCAAAATTAATCGCCAAAATGAACAGTTGTTGTACAACTTGCTGGCTAATTTTTACTGAATCCTGTTAGGTGAAAACTCAGTAAATTTCGTTTTTTGGAGGAGTAAGACACCTGACTTACATCTTGGCTAACTCTTACTGACATTTATCACTGGACAGAGCTATTACCTTCTGCCAATCGCTGCCATAGCGGCTCAATCAATGGCACTTAATTCTTCACTATTTGCCTCGCAACGCTCCTAAACTTAAGGATGTAGTATTAAAAAAATGTATTCATGTTGGTAAAAAAATATCTTTTATCTTCTTTTAAAAAAAAAATTACTAAAAAAAATTTTTACGAAATTATATTACATTGTACATATAAATATAAACCATCTTAAAAACATTTCCTATTTTTAAAACAATTAGAAGAATGGCTTAAAAACTAAAACCACTTAAAATTTGTTAGGAAAAAGTATAAATAATTAAATTAAATTCTTCCCTAACATCGAATTAAAAATATATTCTTTTAAAAACAGCTATAAGTATAGGTAATAAGACATAGGATTGCGGCAATAATAAATATGTGTCAATAGCTAGTTATCGATGAAAACTAAACAATACTAACTTCGTTTGTCAAGTCGTCCAACCACAATTTTATTCCATTTTATTTAGAACTAAATACACATATGAGCTTCAAACCAGTAGCATGTGATACAGCATCGTATTGACTGATCAATAAAGGGTGTGGTCGAGCTGCTGATCATCTAATAATGTACAGCAGACTTGCCTTTAGCTCCAGTTTAATTTAAAAACAATATTAATATAACCTTTGTTCACCGAAATATGCAACTTTAAACAAATTAATAATAAGTAGTTTTAATTGAGGGGTTGGCTTAAATGTTGTGCTATAGTCACCTAACCAGGGGAGGGAGATGAGAGCCAAGTCATCTAGCTTTCTTCAGAAAATATAAATATTCATTATAAGTTAATTCATTGTATTTAATAAACGATTACCTTGCTAAATATACATATATTAAGTTGTATTATATAAAATATTAGCAAATGACTTATTATGCACATATTCATATTATATTATAGTAATTTATGCGTTAAAAAAAAAAAATTTGTTAAGTAATATGAAATATAAAACAAAGAAAAATGCGAAATAAAACCATGTTCCATCGGGCGGGGGAGTAAGAGGCCGCGTTAGGCTACAGGAAAAGTTGATCGATCACGTAGTTTATAGGCAATCTCTTGGCGAGTTCTTAGACAAAATTCATGTGATATGCATGATTAGAAGAGGTAAATATACAAAAATTTTGCTCGCCAGTGTACATCTTATTTAATGCATCAGTACACATGAATGCAGTTAAATACGTGTATGCATTCATATCTACAAATAATAGATGCTATAAAAAATTCGCACTTGGAGCTTGCATCGATGTGTTTGATCAAGTGTTGCCCTAATGAAACACAATTCCCCTCCTGTTGTCCACAGATGGGCGGTTTTGGGGGATTGCTAACTTTCAATCGCTGACACTACAGGTCTAAATTAATGAGTTTGGTCTTAGGGGAGCAGCTCACAGCGGATGGTCCCTTGCTAATCCTGCCAAACACAGAAAACCTCACTGGCCGTTAATCTTGGTTTGGAGACCGTTTGTATCAATTCAGCAGCAATTCGCAGATGGAAATTCATGCCATGAGATTTTTCTTCGCTAACTCATGTGTAACTAACTCATGTGTATCCAGCCTTTTTCAGGTCATTCCCAACAGTTTTTGTGCAAGGTTTAGCTCCTGGGCAATCGAAGCAATGCTCGCATGACAGTCAGTCGCGACGATTCCCATTTCGACATTTTAATCGATTGCCAATATTAAATGAGTTAATTGAATTCAGATTTAACTAAATGCTAACAACGTCACTTACCGTAATCCAATCGCACTTAAAGAACGTGAGATAAAGTTCACTAAAGGAATCTATTGAACAAACTAATGGCTTAAATTTTACTAGACCAATATACAAGTTTATAGTGGTTCGACAGAGTTTAGAAGTTGAAAGGTATGGAAAATTTGTATTTTAAAATAAAATATATATGATAGTATATTATTTAAACTATGTAACATCATTGAATCAGTCTAAAACTCCAATTCCTTTACATTTGCACAATATATGAGTTTTACATGAATTCAATC